CAGTATCCTCTTCTTTTTTTTGCTTTTTTGGGTCACACCGGCGTTGCACGGGGGTTCCTCTTGGCTCATGTACTCCGGAATTACTCCTGGCAGTGCTTGGGGGACCATATGGAATGCTGGGAATCGAACCCGGGTCGGCCACGTGCAAGGCGAATACCCCACCGGCTGTACTATTGCTCCAGAGCCCTCCCAGTATCCTCTTGATCTGCATGTAATCCCTGTTTTCAGTCTCTCATCTCAGGAGAGCTGCAGGGGAAGGAATGGAAGCTGTCCTGCACTCAGTCTGTCCCCTTCACACAGCCCCCTAGGTGGAGCTGTTGGAAGTAGTGTGCAGAGGCTCAGACAAAGATGCCAGGGAAGATTACAGGTGGCAGAAGCTATAGCTCCTAGCGCAGAAATGGGCTGGATTCCAGAAGTGGGCAGCCTGCCAGCAGGGACGTGCCCAGGATTCTTTCATGCACTAGTTGATGGACTTCTTTGGCAAGGCAGCCTTTTCTTGAAATCTCTTTGGGAGGGAATTGGCCACGTCCTGTGGTGTCTGATGTGTTTGAATCTCTCGTTTCTGTGCAGGAGCATGTGAAAGAGTTGCACACTCTGGGGAAGGCTGTGGCATAGCATGTGAGCCAGAGACATTCCAGAAGAGCCACAGCGGTCAGGGTGCAAGGTGGAAGGCTGTGTCCTTGAGCCCGTGGACTTGCTGGGCTGTCCTGTGCCTCCGGGACAGGGAGCTGAGTTTGGGCAGGAAGACCTTGTGGTGTTGAAAGTGGAACTCTCAGAGCAGGGATATTGCTCAAGGGGCTCGTGCAAAGGTCTTCCTGATGTGAGACCCTGAGTTTGATCTGTTTACTGTGGACCCAGGTCCCAAGCATCACTTGTGTAAGCCCTGGGGATTCCTGTCCCCCCTGCCCCCAACCTCCCCCAACTCCAGCTTGGCTGGATCTAAGCACTGAACTATCAGACCTGCACTGCTAGGTGAAAGTAGCACCAGGAGTGGCCTTCAGATGCTGAGCACTGGGGAGGCCCTCGTAAAGGGAGGGAAGGAGGGAAAGAAAGAGAGGATAGAAGGGGAGGGGAGAACATGGGCGGGATTCTGGAGCCACATGCTCTGGAACTGAATGCTGCATCCACCTTTCAGTTGCTGAGTGTTCCAGTGGCTCAGGTTCTACTCTCTTGCAGTTCACTTTCCCCCCTTGAAAAGCGAGAATGCTGAGTGGAACTTCCTTGTGGTCATCTTTAGCATTGCTTCTTGAATTGTGGGTTGTGACCGGGGCGGGGGGCGTGTCACGTAACAGTGTGAGAGGTTGCCAAGAATAAAACAAAACACGCAATAATACACCGTTTCTGCACTTTCACTCATCCAAATTGGCCTTTTAATAAGTTCAAGGTGTTTCGACCAGTGCTCACCCCCATTGCGTTTCTCTGGTGATAAGGGGTAGCAAGTGCTAGAGTGGTTGAAGATGCTCTGTCCCCCGCGTGCTGAGTGTGTGCAAGCACAGGCCTGCTGGCCCGTACCAGATGCCGACTGAATCATGGGTTAATGCCCATAGCTCCCAGGGCACATGCGGCGATGAAGACAGCAGTTAATGACAGACATGCCTGTCTTTAAAATGGGCATGGCAGGAGAATGTGCAGGTTGGTGTAGGACAGGGTGCTGCCCCCACCCTGAGAAGCGAGGCCTTCTCAGTACGTCCTTGTCACGTGACTCAGTTGCCACCCCAGAATAAATGACTAGTTCGTGTTCTTCCTCTTCCACTGCCACATTGCTTGCCAGCACCTAAGGACCCTGAGTCACAGCTGACCTTGAGTTGCTCCACATTGGTCTTCCTGGCTCTCACTGTGGAGTCTCAGAAGATTGGAATGGTATGTTCTCCTTAAAGTCTTAGGTTATGAAAGAGCTGTGTTCTGTGAGCGTGTGTGTGTGTGTGTAGACAGGGTGAGGGAGTGGAGGGGTGAGGTGGAGGGACTCTTCCAAATGGTACTCAGGAGGCTTGGGGAGTCCCTCCTGAAGATTATCCACCAGCTGGGCTCTACTCAGGAGTGCTTGGGGGTCTCCAGGGCTGCACCCACAGATGCTTGTAGAGGTGTGTGTGTGTGTGTGTGTGTGTGCGCGCGGGCGCGCACGCGCGTTGGGGGAGGGATCCCTTAGCCCTGAGGTCTGAACTGGGGTCTGCCTCATGCAATCACTGTGCATTAACCCCTGTACTGTCTCCCCAGAGCTTCAGTTCTTTAAATCAGACTAAGAGCCCATTCTCGTGCACCAGAAGTAAGCTTGCAATGAGAGATGAGAGCACTGGTGAGATGAGGAATTAATAGAGACCAGTGGATGATGCCCCTATCACGTTTTCACTTTTGTGGGGGTAGGGGTGAGGTGGGGATTGCTGCTCGGGAGCCTGAGCTGAAAGTCACCAGAAGTTCCACAAGCTTCAGTTCTTTGTCTCGTTGCACAAGGCTGAGCACAACTTAGCTTCAGTCGTAAGCACATTTTTAGTTTGTGAAACTTGGCTCTGTCGGACCCATTTCTTTCTACAAAATCTCCTGGTAAGGAATATGTGTCCTGACAGGGATCTGCTTTGAGCAGGGCCTGGTGGGAGAGAGCAGGGAGAGGGAGCTAGATCATTAGCTTCCACATTCTGTTAAGAATCTCACCAAACTGTGGCACTGTGTTGAAATAGAGGATGCGGTAGGCAGCAGCTGGTATAAAATCTCTCAGCCCTACTAGTTGGAGACTTCTTCCAAAAAGACATACATTGCCAGGAAAAGCTAGCAAAAATTTCAAGGCAGATTTAGAGGAATTAAATTATTCCTAGGCATCTTGCCTGGTTCCCAGCCATTTAGGGATATGTAAATTTCCGTGTTCTTTCGAGTTCTGTGTCTCATTTATACAGATTACATTAGTGCTAAAAATGAGATTGGCTAGTTTTACATTTTTTTGTGTGTGTGAATTTATGCAGTGAATATTTAATTTGATTCTGTATCAGTCAAAAGGAGAGGTTATCTTCAAACGTCATATAGTTCAGTTTTCTCTTATGCTCCCCTGGTTGCTTTAGCCTTCTCTGATGACTGAAATGCAAAGTGGAATACAATTCCAAATTAATATTCTTGCTGCACAAAGATTTCCAGTGTTTGTTTATGCTGCTTTTAATATGTAACTTTCCTGAGAGCGTTATTGTATTGCAGCTGAGAGCTTTTAACCGTGTAACACTGAACACTTAACGCTTCTGAATGCCAACATAACAGTCTGTGATTAGAATCTGTTTCCTCAGATGCCTATACTGACTGACAAGAATCTTAAAAATTAAACTTCTTAAGGGCTCCACTCTTATTCCTTTTTGGGGGGAGGAGGGAGGGTCACACCCAGCGATCGATGCACAAGGGTTACTCCTGTCTTTGAACTCAGGAATTACTCCTGGCAGTGCTTGGGGGACCACATGGGATGCTGGGAATGGAACCCCGGTCGGCAAATGCCCTACCTGCTGTACTGTCGCTCCAGTCCCAGGGCTCCACTCTTCTAAAACTTGTAAAATGATGTCTTTGGTATGGTACCTGAAAATTGTTGGGGGGGCGGGGAGGTGGGGGAGATGGGACTGTTTTCATTGCCTTTTCTTCCTTTTTCCCCAGCCAGCTAAGCCAAAAGCTTTAGGCTGTATGAGGTTGGTCCCTGAATGGGGAGCACAGGGTAACGGGAACTCACTATTTTTTCCAGCTGCCTGCTCTGACTTACGAACATGTGGATCTAGCTTAGAGAACTGCGGACTCTCATTTCTTGGCCTCCTGTGTGTAACCCAACAAACAGAAAAACCCCAAACCACCTTAATTCTCTTCCCCTCTGTAAAAACTAGCTTCATCCGCAGCAACTGTCCATTTCCTTTTTCAGTTCTTCAATGCCTGAATTTTTAGTTACAAGGCAAATGAACTAGAATCTGCTTTGTCTCAAAAACCTGATATTCCCTAATAATTAGAGCACCAAGTGATGTAGCCGGCACCAGTCACCCCTCCTCCTGGATCACAGCCCTAGCTCTTGGTCACCCACACCAGCACTGTGCCATTGGGTGCCCTCCTGTGTGTTCAGTCCCTCGGGTCCTCTTAGCAATGTCTCTTGTTTGAGCCCTTCACCTTTTTGGGGGTGGGGGGCATACCCAGTCATGCTACAGGGCTAATTTCTGGCTCAGTACTCAAGGACCAATTGCAGTTGCACCCAGATTGACGGTGTACAAGGCCATAGCTGTTCCAGCTGGACTCTGTCTTTGGCCTGGTCCTTCCCTTTCTGTACTTTCTGCCCCGTCCTAGTTCACGCCCTCATGGCTGCTTGCCCAGATGCCTTTCAAGGCTTTCCTCGCCTCTTCCATCCCCGCGCCAAACCCACCTACACTCCACCTTGGTGAGCTTGGGGGTGCGTGTCACTGCCGTGACTCAGGTCTCTTCAGGCCTTCTTGTAGGCTCCTTGGAGCCGACCGACCTAAACCCATAAAAGTCAGTACAGGCATCTGCGAGTTGATGGCTCTCTCAGATCACTTTCCCTCACAGGTTCAGTGCTGCTGCTTGACTTCAGACATGTTGGACTGCCGCATTCCAGCTCTTCCCAGAATGGGACCTAGGCTTGGTGACACAGTCAGGCCATGCGCCTGCTCTGTCCTTCAGCTTCCGTCAGCTCCTATGGCCTTGCTGGTGTTTGAGCCCTGAGAGCTTTGACTCCGCCTCTTGCGTCACTCACCTAGAATTTCGCCTCCTAATGTACCTTCTTAGGTCTTATCTCTGAGGTGCATTGCCACATGCCAGTGCCCCTCCCACCCCTGCCCAGTGTTCTTAGAAGGCAGGGACTGTCTTACTAATCTTCTGTTAGTGTATGCCATGGCGTGGCAGGCAGTAGCACAGGCACGCTGGCCTGGGCGCATGTGCCAACGGGATTTAGGACCTGCTGAATGGAAGCTGAAATTCACATCCACTCAGATGGCAAACCGAGACGTTCATTCATTAACCACGTCTGTTCCTTCTTCCACTAGGTGACGCCCACGTGCGACACACCACCGTGACATCAGCCGACAGATGGACAGTGTGGCGGGATTGTCAGAAAGGATTGGGCCTCGCTACGCGCATTGGCCAGGAGTCAGCGTGTTGACAGGTTGTTGAGGAGGACGCCGGGGAGAAGACGAAGGAAGCGGAATCCGGACCTGGGCCACATACCATTGATGGAGGACAGATGGACAGCTGGCTGGCCAGTCACCTCTCCTCCTAAGCCTTCGGAGAGTGGTCCTTTGTCCCTTGCTGGACACATATCCAGGATCCTTACACCCACCCTGAGTACACTCTGCGTAGAAACGTGAAGTCTGACCACAGTGTGCCACGGGACACATCTGCTGCATGTGACAGATCCGTAGCCATGAGCGCCGAGGGCTACCAGTACCGGGCGCTCTATGAGTACAAAAAGGAGCGGGAGGAAGACATTGACTTGCACTTGGGCGACATCCTGACTGTGAACAAGGGCTCCTTAGTGGCCCTTGGATTCAGCGAAGGACAGGAAGCTCGGCCCGAAGAAATTGGCTGGTTGAATGGCTATAATGAAACCACTGGGGAGCGAGGGGACTTCCCAGGAACTTATGTAGAATATATCGGGAGGAAAAAAATCTCACCACCAACACCAAAGCCCCGGCCACCTCGACCCCTTCCTGTAGCCCCAGGTTCTTCGAAAGCTGAAGCAGACAGCGAGCAGCAAGGTCAGTATTGATGAGTGATTGCTTTATGGCGTTTGTGCTCTCCCTTGCTCTCCCTTCTCTCTCTCCCTCTCTCCTCTCTCTCTCTCTTTCTCTCTTTCTCTCTCTCTCTCTCTCTCTCTCTCTCTCTCTCTCTCTCTCTCTCTCTCTCACCCACTCTCTTGTCTTTAAAGGAAAACTTCAATTTGGGCTGGACTGTGCGGGTGCTCAGGCAGAAGTTTTGATGACTTGAATAAAAGCGGAACCAATTACTGCACAGCTAGAAATCTGTGGGGGTGGGGATTATTAATAAATAATCACAAAAAATAGGGAAATGGTATCTGTTTAACGTCTTTAAACCAGTTCTAGATGTGATAGATGTGATTATGTGATAGATGTATTCTAGATTTGATAGTAAAATCTACCTCATTCCTATTGTGAAAAGGAGTTACATAATGTAAATTACTGTTTTGTAATAAGGTTTAATGTAAGTCTATTTTGGCAGGGGTGTGTGGGGGGCGGGGTCATACATCATGGTGCAGGAGTTTCTTGCAGGTTTGTGCTTGGGACTGATCCTTGGCTGTGCTTGGGAGACAGGGCAGTGCTGGTGATTGAGCTGCAGTCGGCCACTTTCAAGGCAGGCACCTTACCCCTTGTGCTGTCTCTTCAGTCCTAATGGAAGAGACTCCGTCATGGTCATGGTCCTCCCGTTGTTCATTGATTTGCTCGTGTGACCTAATGTCAGAATGTTACTTTGAGCACAGTACCCAGCAGAGAGGAAGCCATTGGGTTTATGCTGTAACTCTTGGTTCCCTCTTGGCAGCAGATGCCTGTCCATGGGTAATCCAGAGAAAGAGGGGCACTCTACTTCCTGGACGAAGATGACTGTCCCAGTAATACATGGGAGCCTTGTCTTCCAGGCGAAGTCATTGGGCATTTTCTTTCAGTGGAAGCCACCTCGTTTCGGAACTCATGACCTCTTGAAATGGTCTCCGATTGTGCCTTGTGCACCTTGCTCTTTACAGCATGATGTTTATGGTGATTCAGTCAGAGACAGCCTTTGCTGTTGCCAGCCTTATCAAATGAACATTCCCTCATTTGGAAATCTCAAGCCCTTTTTGTCCTAAGTGTCCTTTGTTTCCCAGAAACTCAGACTGGGAGGGGAAGGCATGTGCTATTTATTTGTTTGTTTATTTAGGGGGCATACCTGGCGATGCTCAGGGGTTACTCCTGGTTATGTGCTCAGGAATTACTCATGGCAGTGCTTCGGGGACCATATGGGATGCCAGGGATCAAACCTGCATCAGCTGAGTGCAAGGCAAGCACCATACCTGCTATTGGGCTATTGCTTCCACCCGGGGAATGCCTCTTTAAAACAAGGGTTGGGGGTGGCCATGTGGAGTGGCCATGTTGGAAGGAATCTGATAGTGTGTGCCTTATTGTTGCTGATTTATTCTTGCACTGGTGAATGACATAATGAGAATAAAGCAGAATGCAAACGTGAAAACCACCATTTAACATTGAGTGACTGTAGGATTGGGAATATTTTATGCAATTCAAAGAATTTTCCAACAGTGCCTTTCCCTCCTTGGTCCAACCCAGAAGGGATACTTGTTTCATAAACATAAAACCATATACTTTGTATATATATTTTGTTCAAATAAGAATCTTCTTGGTGCAGCTGAAAAGTGAAAGTTGAATTTTCTTTGCAAATGATTCGGAAAACATTGATTCTACATGCACTGATAGGTAATTTTATCCACTATTGTGTGTGTTGCATAATTTCACTTAGATTGAATGTAGGCAGCACAGGCTTGTCTTTCTTCATCAGACTATGCATTTGGGCGCCAGAGAGAATCAGCTCAGTGGGCCAAGCACATGTTTTCCTGGGGAAGTTCTGGGTTCAGTCCCCAGAACTGGTCGTTCCCCCAAGCACCTCTGGAAATGACTTTGAGCACTGATCTGGGAGTGTTTCCCCAGCACTACTGAGTGTGGCACAAAAACTCCATGTATTTTATTTAAATCGGGCTATTTATTTTGTAAGTTATGAAGAGTTTTTGTGTTGGCTAATTTCAAAGGGAAAATTAGTGTGCCTCAGAATACAAAATGTTACAAAGTAATAAACATATCTGAGTTGGATTAGAGATTACTTAAGAGACAGAAAAAGGGGCTTACCTGGTCAAAATTAGTGATAGAAATATTTTATAAAAATAATTTCTAGGGGCTGGAGTGATAGCACAGCAGGTAGGGCGTTTGCCTTGCACGAGGCCGACCCAGGTTCAATTCCCAGTATCCCATATGGTCCTCTGAGCACCGCCAGGAGTAATTTCTGAGTGCAGAGCTAGGAGTAACCCCTGTGCATTGCCGGGTATGACCCAAAAAGCCAAAAAAAAAAATCATTTCTCGGGGTTGGAGAGATAGTACAGCACTAAGGTACGAGTCTGACTGCCACAAGCCTGGTTTGATCATGAGCACCACATGTGGTCGACCGCCTGGGCATTTCCAGGAACGACTCCAGGGCATTGCTGAGTCCCTACCTCATAAGTAATAAACTAATTTTTAAACAATATTAATTGTAATTTTATTTGGCTGTAGTTGATACAGAATAAATATCTTTATATGAAAAGTGCTTTTTCTCTTTTTCAGCCCTAGCTTGTTTCATAGAACTTTCTCAGTGATAGTGACAGTTGAGTTTTTTCTGTTTATTGTTGAGGCATATCTGGCAGTGGTCAAGAGCTGTTCTGGACTCAGTACTCATTACTCCTGACAGTGCGTGGATTACCGTGCAGGGATGGAGATTGAACCCATGCCTCCTGTATGCGAAGCATTGAGCTATCTTTCTGGCCTCACAACTGAGATTTTTAACCGATTTCTCAGTAAACATAAAATTTTTGAGCAGAATTCATGAAACAAGACCATGATAATATACATTAAAGTATTAAAAAGAGAGGGCTTGCATATAAATGGGAAATTAGGCACAACTAAAAGGTAGTTTTGGGTGTGTATAGTTCTGAACATTAGATTTTTCTAGAAATGCCATATTCTCATTTAGATGAGATTTGTGTAAACTAAAAATTCATTAGCTCTTCCTACTTTCCTGTCAGATTGATGTGGAAAGTATCATTAAGAGCACCCAATAAGAGAGAGAGAACAAAAGGGAGTGCCCTGCCACAGAGGCAGGGTGGGATGGGGGGGATGGGGGTGGGAGGGATACTGGGATCACTGGTGGTGGGAAATGGGCACTGGTGGAGGGATGGGTATTTGATCATTGTATAATTGAAACCCAAGCACAAAAATTTGTAAGTCTACAACTGTACCTCATGATGTCTCACTAATAAAAAAAAAAGCACATTTTGCATGTTGGAATCTAGAGGACTCCACTTCCTTTTGCCTGAGCACATATTCGTTAGAGAAGAGTTGACAGGAAAGAAAGGGTTGTGTTTTTCCTGGGGCACTTGAATTCTCGAGCCCCTCCTTTTTTCTGGCTTCCTCCTGCCTGAACCTAAGTTTTATGTTGGACTGTCTTCATTTCCTGGGGTATAAGAAGCAGAGTGTTGTTGTTGAGCTAGCATCACCTGGATAGTCCATACACGCCCATAATGGAAGTTGGTCTTTTTGTGGGCTTAATAGAAGGTGTTAGGACCCACCTTCAGGATTCCTGCTGCCCCTCACTACCTTTTCTTGCTGAATGGAAGTGGGCATTGGACTCTTACCAACAATAGGCTGTCTGGGAAGGCATCTTTCTAAAAGAAACTGCCTTTACCACTTTCCAGGATACTGGTACAGATAAAGCTGTGAGGTGTTACTTTTGGGGTTAAAGTGTCAAAAACCCAGCTCCTGGGCCAGAGAGAGAACATGATGGGTAAGTGGTTGCCTTTTACCCAGCGGGCCCTGGTTCGATTCCTGGCACTGCATCTGGTCTCTTGAGCAGAGTTTGGAGTGACCCCTGAGCACATAGCCCAGGAGTAAGCCTGGGGCACTGCCAGTGTGTCCCCGCCCCCCACCTCAACAGAAAAAAAAAAAAACCCAAAACAACCAACAATCCTAGCTTCTCTTGGGAAAAGGTATCATCTGCCAGTGCAGTTGCATGCAGATTTCTTAGGAAACTGTGAGAAAGAGGCTATGAAAGACTGGAGAGAAAGGGGGCTTTCCTGCCTCTGCCTTGTCTGGACTAAGTGTGCGTGCATGCATACAAGCTCTGCCCCGACACCCATTTGGCTGACCCACCCTCTCTTCCTTGCTCAAATCTCTCTTCGCTTGCAGGCTGGCTCCGTTCACCTTGTTTCATGTGACAACCTGCCCCTGCTTTTTATAAATCCCTAATCCAGGGCTTCTGAGACTTTTTCCACCAGAGACCCTTTTGCTTGTGGATATTTTACACAACCTAGGGTACAGAGCAATATAAAGTATGTGTAAAATTCAGACATTTGCTGATAATCATGCAGAAATTTATCTTATTTCATTAATTATTTAATTTTTTTTTGCTTTTTTGGGTCACACCCGGCGATGCACAAAGGTTACTCCTGGCTTTGCATGCAGGAATTTCTCCTGGTAGTGTTCAGGAGACCATCTGGGATGCTGGGAATCAAACCCCAGTCAGCTGTGTACAAGGCAAACGCCCTACCCGCTCTACTATCGCTCCAGCCCCAGAAATTTATTTTAAAATAACTTTGTGAACTCTTTTATGACCCTTAACCTTTAGTTACCCCAATTTCATTTGGGGTTGTGACCCACACTTTGAGGAACTGGGACCTGATGTGCTTTGGAGTCACTTAGCACACTGGTGACTGTCCGTTCTGTGGTTGAGTGGAATCCAGCGGGGTCTTTGTTGACCCTAAATGATGCCAAGCAGCTAAAATAGTGAGGACTTGCTGTTGAAGCTCATCCCCTTCAATTACGTGTTCTGTGTGATTTTTTTTATATGAATTTTTTTTTCATATGCCCTGTGCAGTCACACGGAGGTTTTTCCAAAAGCACAACTTGTTCACCTGCATTCTTTATATTGGAGGACACTTGCAGTCGTG